TGTACAGAAACATCTGTGCAGAGTATGGGCTGGAAACTCCAAGGACTAAGTGGGAAACTCCTCCAAAGGTGGTGGAGAATGAGCGTGCGAAGATCCTGTGGGACTTTCAGATACAGACCAACCGAATGGTAATGGCAAACCAACCTAACATCGTGGTGATAGACAAAAAAAAGACAAAAAAAAAAAGACAAAGGGCAGAAGAAAGCCGTGGTGGTGGACGCGTCGCAATTCCAAGCGATGGTAACATCAGGAAAATAAAACACGAAAAGCTTGAGAAATACTCAGAGAGGGCCTGGAGGGTGAAGGTGACAGTAGTGCCCCTGGTGATCTGTGCAGTGACCCACTGGTGCACCATTGTGCATTTGGATGCTTGTTGTGTGTACAAATGTGCATTGTTATAAGCACAGACGGAACAAATAAATACAATAAATAAAAATAATACTAACAGCTTATTAACCGAGCGCGAGGTCTGTACAGAGAAATATCAGACCGCGGCCTTAATGTACAGGCCGAGCCGTGGCGAGGGCTGTGCAAAAAGGCCAAGGTCTGATATTTCTCTGTAGGGACCGAGCAAGCGGTCTGTGTCTTTACCAATGCTTTTGAGATATTTGTGAAGTATGTTCATGTCCGACTTGGTTTTGTGTGATACGGGCTGTGGACAGATTGTCATGGTAACGGTCCGAGATGGGAAAATATCAAACCGGTTTTCAGCCAATCAGAGCGCGCGTACGGTCCAAGTCATTTGGGGCCTTTCCAGAAATCCTCGTTTTATTTCTTGTTTTGTCGTTAATGATTTGAGAATCGTAACAACACATTAGTTCTTCAGCCACATGTTACTTGACCACTGAGATTTGCTTGATGCGGTGAGTTCTGGCGCCCGGATCACAGACGCTCTGATTGGTGAAACGGTGGAGGGTGGGACATCGAAATTAAAACACATTTATTCTGAATTTTGAATATCTTTGAACTGCTGTTCAAAGAAGCAGTTAAAGAAGTATTGGAAAATAGCATGTTTTATTAATGCCTTTTGACAGATTAGGGCCCTTTAATGATGACTTGACATGAAAATCTTACATATTGCTACTTTAATGTGAGCACAGCAGGACCCAGTGTTAAAAACAAATGGATCTGGTCTCCAGGATGAGACCAGATCCAATGACACAAACTATTCTGGTAAAAAGTATTTTAAGATATATAGGTGGATTTTCTCTTTCTGATACGTGCTCGTCAAAAGAGACTAAGTAGATGGGGCGGTTCTTTCCTACAAATTGGAAAAATCCTCTTCTATGCCTTTAACAGACTGATAAAAATGAAGATTTGCAGCTCATTTTCAGAGAGAATGTGTATCTCAGGCTCAAAACATGCATTCCCGCTCTCATGAAGAAAAACATTGCAGGCCAAAATGTACCATTGCTGCTCACTTGGCAAAGGCATTTGACTGTTCTGGGAGCTGCATTTACTTTGGGCCGGACAAAAAAAGAAAGAAAACGGAAACTAAGCTTTGCAAAACACAAGGATCCAATTGAATCAGGAAACTTGAACTACCCAATCGAAAAAACACTTCAAAGTCAAAAGAAAACCTTTTGGATTGACACTTCAAAAGCCACTTCTCACCTGGGCTTGAATGTAGAAAAGTTTCCCCTTTTCTGAGACTGGTCACTTTGATTTTGTATTTGTTGACTTACATGGCCATGCCCTTATATGGTCACACAGAGGGTCATGTCTCAGAATGTAACAAAAAACGTTATTGTTTGTTGATTGACAGGTTGTTACTGTCATTAGAAAGAAGTAAACATGTTTTTAAATATGTTTGTGGTCAGAGTTTCAGATTGTATTGCCTTGGGCTGTGGCATTCACATGTTACCTCCACACAAAACATACATTAAAAAGCATTGAAAAGCATTCATAATCACAGGTCCAGTACCTGTGATTCACAGGGACACAGATGTGTAGTCCAACTGTCTTTGAATATCAGTGAACATTTTTGCTAAAGTGTACATGTTTTCCAGGCTGCACTCAAAACACAACAATAGACAACAATACTCATTGGATATAATTCACTCATGACTCTCCCAACCAGAGCCAGGAATTCAATTCCATTCAATTTATTTTGTACAGCCTAAAATCACAACAGTAGTTATCTCAATTTACAAAGCTGTCGATTTACCAACACAGATAAAATAATCAAACAGTTCACAAACCAGATTTGCAATGATTTAAAACACATTGGTCATCTGCCCCTTAATGGCTCTATGTCCATAAAGGTTCCATAAATGTTGATAAAGTCCATGAAGGCCCATGAAAGCCTCCCAACCAGTCGGCTCCGTCATGCACCAAGGGCCATGGTTAATGCCACTGTTTCCTGGGTTTCAATTACACACACAATCATATAACCATGGAACACACACACACACACACACTTGCACACACACACTTACACACACACACACACTGCTTGTGTAACTCCATTATTCTGGAGAGCAGCCTGTACCTGTTTGTGAGCCTGAGACATCACTACTTTGAAAGAAGCACATTGTAATGGTGACCTGTTGTATCAAATAATATGATGCAAGAAGAAGATATATTACGTGTTCCTCCTCGTGTCACTTTGGGGAATAGGTCGAGAATGTAAATGTGTTAATCCAGTGCAGAACAGTCAGCGCCTAAAGTCACAAGGGGCACGGTAAAACCATTTTAGGATTTGTATCTAAAACTTCCATACAAATTGTAGCCACTTCAGGGTTTCACAGAGGTCGCCCGTTAGTACAAACACACCAGGGAATGAGAGATATGCAAATGCACTTTGATTTTCCTCCAAAATGTCACACTCTCACAGGAGAGAACTCAATTTATATTCCTATTATTTTGCGGTGGGAGATCGAGCAGAGTCAAAAAACAATTGTCCTTGATTTATTCATGATGTAAAAGGCAGTAGATGGAGACGTGAGAGAAAGGGGAAATTGAGCGTCAACACCTCAATACTCAACACGTATTCTGAGGCTCTTAAAACTGTCTCTGGCCATTCTCTCTTATTTTGCCCTTTTTGATCATTAATGTTGCCCTAGAAATGGCTTGGTTGTTGTTTTGCACAAGTTCCATTATTTTACTTAACGTCAGGTGTCAAACACAAGGCCCGAGTGCGAGATGCGGCCCACCAGACCGTTCTCAGTGGCCCTTGAAATTATGTTTAATTATTATTCACTTTTCACGCTATTCACAGCATTGATGGGAGGTTTATAGTAGGTCACCTGCTTCCTGTCAGACCTCTGAAGCTAAGCAGGGAGGGCCTGGCCAAGATCAGCAGGGCATTGTGGGATTAATAATGCTCCTCACTGCTTCCATAAGAACGCCCTGAGTTTAGGTTAAAAAAATGTGTTGTCTCTTTCCTTCTTGTTCCTGAATGGGACTGGACAGTCCTTGTCATTGAAGACAGACCACTGTCTTCTGGGTCGATAATATGTAAATATAAATAAGATTTGAGTGGAGCCTTTCTGAGCCTTCTTAAACCAGTTTGTGAACTCCCCCTGTGTTCTAATGCGATCATGAAATATTAGACTCTCTTCGATTCTGATGGAGTGATTTAGTTTCAAAAACTAAAATATGTGTTCAAACAGTGGACTGTGCCAAATATGCTGAGGTGTGTGGTGTGAGTGGACTGTGCCAGACCGGAGCTGTCTGTCAGGATTAGAGCGCCTGCTTGATTAGAGTCCATACTCATTATGAGCAAGTCTTTTTGCAGGTTTATTTAAGTGACATAACAGAGTGACAGGTGACTTCATGTGGGCTGAATTCCGTGAACACTGATTTTCACAAGGCCAAAGAAACAATCGCTTGTAAAGTAAGATTTAGATGAGGAGACATTTGAGCTTGTTTAACAGCACACAAAGGAATGACAGTCATGTTCGAGTCAATATGAATGTGGAAAATGTCCATCGGTCTTTATTATATAGTTGCTTTAGACATGAAGTTTCCCAACTGTTTGAAACATTTAAATCCGGGTTTTGCCCACATCACAGAACAGAAACAGCCCTCCTGAAAGTCACCAAAGATCTCCTCCTTTCCACCGACTCGAGTTCAGTGCAGCTTAAGACACCCTCAACCAACCATATATCTCATTGCACTTCGTCGCCCACCACCACTACGTCTCAATTAACAACATAAAATAACATACCTCCCCTTTCTCCACTGGTGTACCTCAAGGTTCGGTAATCGGGCCCCTCCTCTTCATTGCCTGCATATTCCCCTTGGCCACATCATCTGTCACCATGGACTCACACAGAACGGTTTATTTCAGCTTATATTTTTGTTTGTAATTAACTTGTCCCTTTGTAAAGCGCCGGAGCTCAGTCAGCTCATGCATGTATCAGACATAGGAACGACAGGGAGCCAAGGTATGTGAATAATCACAACAGGTACACAGTAAAATCGCTAGAGTAAAATTTACTCAAATTGAGGAAAATTTAACTCCATTTTTGATGACATTTGGTCCCTCTCTAAAAAGAGTCAAATTAACTCTTTTGATAGAGTCGTTTAATCGGAGTAATTTCTCTTCAATTTAGAGTAAAAATTCTACTCTTTAATAGTAAAATTCACTCTCTGCAGAGAACATTTAAATTGACTCTTACTCTAGTTTTACTCTTGCGAGAGGAACTATAAATTTACTCCATGGTATTTTACTCCCTAAAAAGAGTTAACATTCCTCAATTCTGAGTAATTGTTTAATAGTACATTTCACTCTATATAGAGTAAATTTCAATTGACTCTCACTCTATTTTGTACTCTTACTTGAGGAACTATATATTTACTCCATAGTAATTTACTCCCTAAAAAGAACTCAATTTTGAGTGATAGTTTCTCCACAAGCTCCTAAAAATGTGAAATATGACAAAAAGATCAAACATTTTTTCACAGACCCTTTTATTTGGCACCAAATACTTGCTCAATAGAAAATTCTCATTCCATTTGTGAACATGCACACTGTTGACACAGAAATCCAAATATTAGGGTTGATGCCTTTCTGTGATTCCGTGCAGATGATCTTGAATGCTGGTCCCAGTCTAGAAAATTAACAAGCATACGTTAATAATGAAGCCCTTCCAAAAAGTTAGAAAAAGCGAGGTGACCTTACCTTGAGAAACAGTGAGATGGTCACAGACATGTCTGGTGAAGTAGAAGAAGAAGACATGTCATTGCCCCAGCCTGAAAAAGATCAAACGGAAGTCATCTACTGTGTTTGTGACACGATCCATTTTCACCAATATAAAAAAACTCACCTTCAACTTTAGAGGTGGACTCAGCTTTAATTCTTGATTGCAGACAATTGGCTAATTTTGTTGAAGTAGCATCATCAAGCATACTGTAAGTCTGAAGTCCTGCTCTATCTGTTTTATAACGAAAGACATAATGAAATGTTGATACAACATTAACAATATCAATATTTAAGGTGACTTACCAGTCCTGATATATCCAGAAATCTTGAAAACATTGTGAAGACCGAGAGATTTTTCAGGACCATATTTTAACGATAGTGACATGTCTGCTTCATCTTCTCTTTGACTATGGCTTCATCCATTGTGTGCTTCATGAGAGCAATTGCTTCACAGAATAGACTTTCTGCCAGCACAGATCAATCTTCCTCTTGTAGGTATCTTAGTTAGCATGCGGACCACCTATAGACAAATAAACATACAAATAATTTACCTTTTCCAACAGAATAACTCAACAGTCTTTAACTAACCTTTTGGTAATGGTGTCCTTTTGGGACCATAGGACACAGCCAGAAAAACGGTAATAGTGCTCCTGAAATAAAAACATAGTTTGACAACATGCCTGTGAATGACTCGGATACAAATGTTCAGAGGAGTTAAGTATCATACCAAGTTAGCTCTTTGGATCTGCCAAACAGAGATAACAAGGCAATAATTCCTCTGGCATATTCGTCTTTTACACGCCTTGAAGGACTTCTTTAAAATAATAGGTTATATTTTAGTTATGAAACAGTGAAACTTTTAAAATTAGCAATGTTTTACCATGTTCATTTGTCATATGCGCAACCAAAATGTTGACCATATCACGTCTCCTGCTGTCTGTAAGGCTTTTGAGCATAATCGCTTAAGATTCCATCTCCTCCTGGTTTGTTCTTTGGGATGCTCTCAATCTGGAAACATAAAACAAAGTGTTTACAATGGTAACAATAAAATAACTTAATCAGCTACATAGTGTGGTGCATATATATATAACCATCAAGCTCACATGTGAGAGACGAACCTCCTCAGTTCTATTGACTGAAGCAGGTCTAAACTGCTATGATCGCGTCCTCAGAGTCAACCTCGGTATCTCCACTTTGGGGAGCTCAACCCATCTGCAACATAAAGTCATAGTTGTCAAAATAAAAACCTTAATATATGAAAATACAGCATTAAATTAATTAATTATTTAAAAAACACACACCCTTTGGTGAACAAACATCTAGCACACCCAAACGCTCCTTCTTGAGGAGAAATTCAAATACTTCATCAACCTCAGTCTTCGTCTCATCATAGACTTTGAAAGTTGGAATATCCATTTATTTTGCAACTACAAAAACAAATGTATGTTTATGATTGTTTACAAGTATCAAGGCATTTCAGAGTGGAGTACAATGTAATATTATCAAAGCATTTTACTTTATAATGCCCCTGAAGCTAAAGATAATTACATATTTCCCACTTACTACATTTTAAGAATAACGCAAAACAAAGCTGCCCTTCATAGCAGATGTACTTCTGTGGATCGCTGCACATCACTTCAGCATTCATCTAAGGAGACATATAAAACAATTTTAGTACACACATGTGGTCACTGTTGTAACAGTAATAGTGTTTATGTGGCAAACATAGCTAAAACTGCATCCAAAGTCAACTACGCTGTCTGTAACAATGCTAACAACAATGCTAACAACAATGCTAACAACAAAACTACTCAAGTTAGAGTCACCTCCATGTGCTGCGCTGTCTGTAACAATGCTAACAACAAAACTACTCATGTCAGAGTCACCTCCATGTGCTGCGCTGTCTGTAACAATGCTAACGCGCCACCATAGCTCATTCCCAGTGTCAAATACTTGCCCATTCTAACCCATGAGAAACCATGCTAAAGCACCAAAGTAATGCACGCGGTCGTCTGTCTACGTCACCGGAGCACAACAGGCGTTTTACAATAGAATGTATTCAGTGTATACAGATTGATTTGAATAAAGTAACACATACACACACTAAAAAATAGCTCAAAGAATTTGTTGCAGTGACGCAAAATTTGATTAACTAATTAACATAAGTTTAACAAATTCTACATTTTGAATGTATATTAATCCATTACTAATAAACTCTGTACAACTCCAACCACATATGATTGCCAGAAGATGTAACGCTATATCAGTATTTGTAACTTGTAACAGCACTAAGCTAGCAGCTTTCACAAGACACAACTGTGTTCCAAATGTACACCGCGATAACAGCATGGACTAAATGAAACTGAAAAAAGTGACAAACTTTAAATACGCATTTAGACTCACCTTGTATCCTTTTGACTATCCATGACGTAGTAAGAAATGAGTACATCCATGGTTTCCACACTCCGTCTGCTAGTGTCCAGCGAGAAACTGTCATGGCGGCGGTTCAGAAGCTCAAGAGCTGAATTTTGGGGGCGGGGCCTCATTTACTCCAATCGAGGAGATTCTGATCATCTCTGAAAAATCACTCGCACTCTAGAGGCCGCTAGAGGTTATTTTACTCTAAAATGTTTAAAAAGAACTCAATTGGAGGAAAAAAATAATGACTCTGGAAATTTTACTCAGCCGTTTTTGCTGTGTAAGTTCAGTTTTTGTAAAATTATTGTATTCAAGTATTTTTCAGTGTTATAGATGAGATATAGAATGATATAAGTTGGTATATAATATATATATATATGTATTAATGAATAAACAATTACAAAAAAACTAAAGGTGTGCTTCAAAAGGTAAAACAAATAGTTCAAGAGTTCAAAATGTCAAGTTCAATGAGATATTGTTTGTATTTCAATCAATCAATCAAATTTTATTTATAAAGCGCTTTTCATACAAAAGATGCAACACAAAGTGCTTTACAGTTTGGTTAAAAAAAATCCCGCCGACCCAAGACCCCTCCCCCAGACCACCCAACAGACCCACCCCAAACCACAGACAAACACACACACGCGCTCATGAACACTCATATACACACACACACACACACCAGTAAAACAATAAAACCATGATGAGAGACTTGGCAGGGTTCAGATGCAACCAGCTGAAAAAGCGTCATCCAAGGAGCCGTCTGCACCAGGAGCAGAGAGCCGCCCGTAGCCACAGGGGACGACACAGGACCCAGAGGAGACATGAAACCGAGGCCCCAGGCCCCCACCAGGCCCAAGAGTCCGACCCCCGCAGCCACACCGACCACTGCTCCCAGTGCAGAGGGCTCCTCCAGAGGAAACACTGGGTACACTAAAAACAATACAATAACAATACAATAAGTAAAACACAAAAATGTGAGACTAAAAGGAACACACAATACATGAATAATAGCAATAGCAATATAATAAATGATAAAATATAAATAGAATGGAATAATAAAAACTAATCAAAAGCTAATCTAAAAAAGTGTGTCTTGAGCCTACTTTTAAAAATATGAATGTTCTCTGCGGCCCTGAGCTCCTCCGGCAGACTGTTCCAGAGACGGGGGCCGTAGTGCTGGAAAGATGCCTCGCCCTGAGTGTGTGTCCTGACTTTTGGAATGGTTAGGAGTCTGCTGCCGGAGGAGCGCAGGGGCCGGGAGGGTTCATAGGATAAAAGCAGTTCTGAAAGATAAGAAGGCCCAATTGACTGCCATTGACGTGTTAACACGTCAAACTAAATAGTAACGTTGTCTGCCAATGACGTGTTAACACGTCAATTGCGTTTCCCGCTATTTTTACGTTCCCAGCTGTCCATTGAATCTAATATGTGGAGATTGGCTTGAGGCAATACTTTATGGAGCCAGCAGATGGCAGCATTGCGCTATGAATGGTTTGAACACAGCTAGATGCACTGTTTGTGGCCCTTTTTTCTCAGCTTTCTGGTGATTTCAATAAAACTTCCCTCTACTCAACTGGGGATTACAGAAGAACTAAACAAGATAGAAACAAAATTCTTTTTGCTGGTGAGAGTAGACAGCCCATTCTTTCAGAATCTAGTTTTAGATTTCAGATAGTCAAAGTACACAATATTCTGTGGGTCTTGAAAAATCAGTAAAAACCACCAGAAACGGCTGGCAATATGGGAGTACCTGTTTTGAAATGGGCTGGCAGTCAATGAGTTAAGACATTTAAAAACCATTAAAATAACCTTAAAATTGATCCTGAAACACACAGGGAGCCAATGCAGCGATTTTAAAACCGGTGTAATGTGGTCCCGCCCCCTGGTCTTAGTCAGGACACGTGCGGCCGAGTTTTGGAGTAATTGAAGACTTGCAATGTTCTTTTTGGGAAGACCAGAGAGCAGGGCATTACAATAGTCAATGCGACTGGTGATAAAAGCATGCATCAGCGTCTCCGTGTTGCCCCGAGAGAGAATGGAGCGGACTCTGGCGATGTTCTTTAGATGATAAAAACCTATTTTTGTGATACTCTTGATGTGAGGAATAAAAGTCAGCTCAGAGTCAAAGATTACGCCCAGATTTTTCACTTGTGAGGATGGATTAAAAGAGTGTGATTGGAGTTTTGATAAAAGTTTCTCTCTCTGGGCCTCAGGACAGATGACTAAAACCTCAGTTTTGTCCTGGTTGAGCTGGAGAAAGTTTTCTGCCATCCAGGATTTGAGGTCTAAAATGCAGTTAAAAAGAGCATCCATTGGCCTGGTGTCATCAGGAGACATGGAGATGTACAGCTGTGTATCATCTGCATAACTGTGGAAGTTAATTCCATGTCTCCTGATGACACCGCCAAGAGGGAGCATGTACAGGTTAAAAAGGACTGGACCTAAAATGGAACCCTGGGGCACACCACATGTGATTTTATGGACCTGAGAGGAGCAGGTATCCAAACTTACCATGAAGGATCTGTCTGTTAAATAAGAAGTGAACCATTTGTGGACAGCACCAGAGAGGCCCAGGTGTTGTAGGCGTGATAAAAGAATGGTGTGGTCTACTGTGTCGAAGGCAGCGCTAAGATCCAGTAGACCACACAACACAGTCACCTTTTTTTTTTTTTTTTGAACTCTTTATTTTTTCATTTAATATTAACACATCAGACAAAACCAACAAACTGAGACAAGGAATAGAAAAAAAAATAATAATAATATATATACAGTCATATATAAACAACAATATATAATATCCACACGTACATATATAAATATATATATAAACATATATTCACACATAAACGAACATATCAATAATAGTTATAATAAGAATTAAAAAAATAGATATAAAAATAGTACAAAATGTTTTACATATGTCTCACCAATAAAGTACAGGAGATTCAATGGTATTCAAATGAAAACACATCTCAAGTATCCAACCCACAGTCCACCCATAGGGTACAGACCATTCAAACAATAATTTGGTTTCAAACTCACACACCAAAATTTCACATATGTTGCAACAACCTCATTTTCAGATGTAAGAAAACCAAGTGTTACATATCTAGGTATTCATTCACCATGTGCCATCTCCGATTAAAAAGCTCAATTTTCAATTGTAGTGATGCGGTTAGTTTTTCCATCATGTAAACTTGTTTTAACCTCTGCTTCCACTCAGACACATTTGGTGATTTCACCTTCTTCCAGTTTACAGTTATGGTTTTCTTTGCAATCAATATTAACACTCGTAAGATATAGTTTTGGTCATCATTGAAAATAGCAGTAGATGGTATACCCAATAGATAGAAAAGTATATTTGAGGGAATTTCCCTTTTTACAATATTTTCAACCTCTTCTTTGATGTTTTTCCAAAACCCAAGAATCACTGGACAATCCCAGAATATATGTGTATGATCACCTATTTTACCACATTGTCTCCAGCATAAAGCTGTATTAGGATCTCTAACAAACTTTGAGATAACCAAGGGAGTATGAAAGTATCGGATTATAAGCTTCCAGTCAAATTCTTTCCACTGTTGACTATTGATCCCCTTATGACACCCCTGACAGAGTCTGTCCCACTGCTCATCTTCTATTATTGTATTAGATTCCAGTTCCCACTTTTCTTTGATATTATAGGTGTTTTGAAGGATGTCCGATGACAATATTTTATATAGATGGGAAACATGTTTATGTGTAGGACAGCCTCTTTCAGAAATGGTGATGAAATATTGTTCCACCTCACCTGGTATTCTACAAATGTTTCCCCTTTCTTTATGAGTTGTAATATAATGCCTAATTTGTAAATATTTATAAAAATCATTTGAGGGAAGGTTAAACTGTTCTTGAAGTTGTAAGAACGACTTTAAGTGTGTTTCTTTGAAGAGTTGATTTAAAGTTACGAGACCTTTAGCCTCCCAACTCTTAAAACCCTGATCAGATATAGAAGGCATGAAATCTATATTCCCCGCTATGGGCATAGCTCGAGAAATTGTTCCTGTGTTCTTAAGCATTTTCTTTACTTCTGCCCAGACCTTTACAGTATGTTTTATCCATTCATTTCCAAACTTCATCTTATTGATTTGTTTTAGGTGTATAAAGGGAAGGGCTGACAGCCGTGTTCCCCCAACTTCACCCTGTTCAATCTGGCACCATTTTACCTCCTCCTCTCCACCAATCCAGGTCACAATTGCTGTTAGTTGCGCTGCCCAATAATAACATTTTATATTCGGCAATGCCAAGCCGCCCTTATTTTTTGTCAAGTGAAGTGTTTTGAGTTTAATTCTGGGCCTTTTATGTTGCCATATAAATTGAGAAATGAATTTGTTTAGCATATTAAAAATTGAAATTGGTACTCTTATGGGCAGAGACTGGAATAGAAACAGAAGACGAGGAAGCAAATTCATCTTGACCGTTTCAACTCTACCAAAAAGAGACAAAGGGAGAATTTCCCAACGAGTCAGATCAGTGCGGATTTGCTTAATTAGCTTATTATAATTTGCATCAAAAAGTGTTGTGGTGTCAGGTGTTATAATAATACCCAAGTACCTAAATCCATGTTTAGACCAGCGAAACGACACTATCTTGTTTAGTTCCGTAGGCCACTTCCCCGACACCATCATTGCCTCAGATTTATTTTGATTAACTTTATAGCCAGAGATTTCTCCATAGTCTTTTAAGCATTGCATGAGTCGAGGTATTGTGTTAAGAGGATGTCTCATGAATAGCAAGATATTGTCAGCGAAGAGAGAGATTTTGTGGACTCTACCCCCACCGTCCTCAACTCCCTCGATCAGAGCATCCTGTCGTATGGCCTCTGCCAGAGGCTCAAGGCTGAGAGCAAAGAGGATGGGCGAGAGAGAATCGCCCTGCCTTACTCCTCTTTCTATATTAAAGAAGTCCGAACACTGTCCATTAACTCTAATTTTAGATTTAGGATTCTTATACAGTACCCGAAACCAGCTAGTAAATTTTTCCCCAAAGCCCATCTCAATTAGTGTTTGTTCCAAAAATTGCCAATCAACCCGATCAAATGCTTTCTCAGCATCTAAGCTGAGAAGCATTGAAGGTCTTTTATCCCTTGCCATAAGTGACTGCAGATTGAGCGTTCTTCTTATATTATCTGTCCCATGGCGCCCTAAAATGAACCCTGTCTGATCAGATTTGATTAGTTTCTTAATATATCTTTGTACTCTAGTTTCTAAGATAGATGTTAGTAATTTATAGTCCACACACAAGAGACTGATGGGACGATAACTAGAGCACTGCAGAGGATCTTTTCCTTCTTTATGCAGGACTGCAATGATGGCCTCCGACCATGACCCCGGAGGATTCCCTGATTCTAAGACATAATTGTATAGCTTACATAGCATTGGTGCAAGTTCATTAATAAATACTTTGTAATATTCCCCTGCAAACCCATCCACTCCAGGCGACTTATTATTCTTTAATTTATTTATTGTTTCTTTCACCTCTTTTTTTAAATCGGTTCTACCAGCGCAGTGGTTTCATCGGTTGTCAATTTGTCTAACCTGAGATTTTTAAAGAAATGTTTTATTTTCTCTTCTTTTAATTCCTGAAGTTGACTCCTATACAGTTGTTCATAGTACTTAGCAAAGGTATTAGATATTGTTTTGGGTTACTCTCAACATCATTGGAGTGAAGTTGTTTAATTTTAGGAACTATACGACTGTTTTGTGCCTTCTGTAATTGAAATGATAATAATCTACTGGCCTTATTTCCTAATTCATAATATTTCCTATTAATGAAACGAAGTGCACCCTCTGCCCTATATGTCAGTATCTCATCTAGTTTGGTTCTTTTTTCTTTCAGTTTATCAAGTACTTCTTGTCTTCCATCTTGTTTGTGTTCACTTTCTAAAATTTTGATTTCACTTTCTAAGTCTGACTGTTTTTTAAATCTGTCTTTCTTTAACCTTGATCCAATAGATATTATTTTTCCCCTTATTGTAGCTTTCCCTGCATCCCATAAGACAGAGGGTGAAACCATTCCATTATCATTAAAAGTAAAATATTCAAGTATTGCTGACCTTAATTCTTCCCTTATATTGATATCAGTCAGTAACGAGACATTAATCCTCCAATACTTCATACCCGACTCAAGGCCTTGTCTCTTTTTGAAACCAGAAAGTGATCCAGTCGAGAATAACTCCCGTGTACTTGTGACATAAATGTGAAATCTCTCTCATTGGGATGCAGGTGCCGCCAAGCATCCGTTAATCCCAATTCTTTCATCATATTCAATAAACATATAGACATTCTGGTCTGAGGCCTTGTGGATATAGGTAATTTATCTTTCCTATTGTTAAGTACGCAATTAAAGTCCCCACCAATGAGCAAAATACCCTCCCCATTATCTGCAACCAGACCCGCCAGTCTTTTGAAGAAATGCGGACAGTCCTCGTTAGGTGCATAGACATTCAAAATGGTTATTTTAAGTCCTGCAATTGTTCCCATGACCATAACAAAACGACCCTCCGCATCCTGAAGAACCTTTTCACAATGAAAGTACAACGATCTATTAAATAATATAGCTACACCTCTCTTTTTATGTTTACTAAAAGAGCTACTGTAAACCTGATCTACCCATTCTCTTCTTAATTTTTGGTGTTCCTTTTCTGCAAGGTGTGTTTCTTGAAGTAAAGCTATAGAACAATGAGTTTTCTTCAACTGTCCCAATATCTTTTTCCTTTTAACTGGGTTGTTTATTCCTTTTACATTATAGGTAACCAAGTTAAGCAGAGTCATCCTTGCACTTATATTGGTTTAAATAATATAGAGCTAATCCTCCATTAGCATCTGTCAAATGAAGCAAATGAAGCCATTTCAGCACTGAATGTACAAAACTTAAGAAAAAGAAAACTAAACCCTGTCTCAGAAAGAACACAAAAAGAACCTTACAAACATAGAACAGAACTTCCACATTTCCAGCCGGACACAGAATATTAACAGAAACTATGGCTGACCCCCGATGATACTGGGACAGAGAGTGGTGACCAGACCCCTCTGTGGAGAAGCGCACACAATGTGCAAAAACGACCAATATTACACTAACATGTAAAAAAGGTCTTATTGAGTGTGAATCACTCATGTAGACGTCAAGATTCCCCGTCAGATTATTTATATTTTTTTGTGTATATCCCTTGTGACAACTTCATGTTTTATCAGTCTAATAGCTTTCAGTCTCTTCATTATTGTCCATACATTATCAACCATACGATTTTAGGTGACGTATACCTCAGACTATTCCGTCTCATCTTCTCCTTCCATCATAGCTCTCAGTCACCAAAACACCGCCTCTCTTCCTCTTAACATCGATTTTCCATGCTTCAAAGTCTCAACTGCACAACTGGACTTTGTGAGTGCGGCGGGAAAGAAGAGACTGTTCGTCATGTACTAATGGAGTGTGTATGCTACAAGCAGGAGCGATGCCAAATGTTTAAAGTTGTGCTGGGAACGGGGGTTGACAGTGTGTCATTGAAGACCCTGCTCAATCCACAAACAAATCGGCGTGAGATCATTGCTGCTGTGATGGAGTTTATTTCTTCCACTAATCTTCATGTGAAGATTTTCCCTTTATGCAGTTCCACTGACTGACTGTGGAAGGCAGCAATACGCCTAGCGGCGTCTAGCCTGCCGAAAACGCACACGAAGAAGAAGAAGAAGGGGCCTCGTTCCTCTGGGTCGTGGACCACACCGGGAGCAGAGATGAGCCGTGGGCCTCAGAGGAGCACGGAACCCGCAGATTCGCTGAGTCGCTGATGTCATCGCAGACGTCACGATGAACAGAGATCTGGTCGAGTTCTACGTCCGCTACAAGCTCTGTCAGCGGGGTTGGGCCGAGGGGGAGGGGCTGGTAGCTGGCCCCGCCCCCGTCCCCCCCTCTGTCCCTGGCCCCGCCCCCTCCGTCGGCCCTGGCCCCGCCCCCTCCTCCCGGGTGAAGGAGGCTCTCCGGGACTCTGCGGTGGAGTTCGAGCTGCGTTTCTCTCGTGCGTTCAGCGACCTCCACCGGCAGTTGCACCTCACGCCGTCCACCGCGTACACCAGCTTCGCCAGCGTCATGGACGAAGTGTTCCGCGACGGCGTGAACTGGGGCCGCGTGGTCGGACTGTTCGCCTTCGGGGGCGCGCTCTGTGTGGAGTGTGTGGACAAAGACATGAGCCACATGGTGCATCGCATCGTGGGCTGGATGACAGTCTACCTGGACGAGCACATACAGGACTGGATCAACCAGCAGGGGGGATGGGATGTCTTTGCAGACCTGTACGGTCGTGATGCAGCGGCGATGTCTTGTCGTTCTGAGGAGAGTTTCAGGCAGTGGCTTTTCGCTGGAGTCACTCTGGTCGCAGGGGTTGTGGTGGGGTCACTGCTCGTGCTCGTCCACCGCCGCCTCTGAGAGAGAGAGAGAGAGAGAGAGAGAGAGAGAGAGAGGACCCAAAGCCTCATGGACTGAACCAGGACCAGGACCAGGACCGGAGCTGGTTTTGACCGCTGCTACAGCTCTGTTTACACTAGCATAACTCTGCTAACGTGTTAGCACGTCTCAGCTAAAGCATTAGCATGACTTAGCCAGTGATCGGCAGTAGCGTCGCTACTAGCTTAACTACATTTTTCAGTAGCTTGACAGTAGCGTCACTATTTACAAAACCTAGTAACTTTTCTGTAGCTAAGCTATATTATTGCTCAAGTAGCGCGGTAGCATGCGCAGGGCTTGGTAACGACACACACACACGAACGTACGCGCACACACACACACGCACACACATGCGCACATAAGGTCTCAAAAATCACTGTTGGTGGCAGAGCATTTAGCTCCAAGCTCCTTTACTGTGGAATCAGCTTCCCATTTATGTTAAGGAAGCAGATACGGTCTCCACATTCAAGGCCAGGCTTAAAGCACTTTACTTTAATTTAGCATATAATTAGGTAATATATAATATATGGTGTATATATTATATATATATGCTGTATTATGTTATATATTATGTTATATATTATACAATAATGTATTGTGTTATGTTGTATATTATGTTATATATTATGCTGTATGTTATGTTGTGTATTATTTATGATATATATGGTATGTATGGTATATATGATGTATATGATATATAATATATAATTAGGTTTGCTTGGATCGGTTTGCACGCCTGGTGTGCAATCCATGAATCTCTTTATTCAAGGCTAGGTTTAAAACAGTCCTCTTTAGTTTAGCATATGGTTAGGAAGGTAAGACTCGAGGAAGGCTAAACTCCTCAGAGTGTCAGTCAAGCTGCATAGGGAGCCCCTTGCTGGAGAAGTATGGTAACTTGAGCACTATCCTCTCCTCCTTCCTACTTTATCTACTTTATCTGTTTAGCACTTTTAGGATTCTGACTGTAGTTTGTTCATTGCTATTCACCCGTTGTCCCATTGTCTGTTTCATGGTACGATGACGGGATCTCTGAGCCTGGCCTCCTCCATCTGCACCTGCGGACTGCCCCGCCTGGGAGTGCTTCGGTCCTGCACCGGACCTGTCCACGTTCAGCGGCCACTGGTCCACGTTCTGTAGCTAGCTTAGGTCCTAGATCATTAGCCTGTCCGTCCGGAGGAGCGGATCCCTTTCTCATATGGGTCTCCCTCCCTGTGGGTTTCCCTAGTTCTCCCCAAGGTTTCTCACTTTTTCCCACTTGGTTTTTTAAGAGTTTTTCCTTGTCGATGCAGGAGGGTCTTGTTGGACAGTTAGTGTCCAACAGAAAGGATTGGTGATGATCAGGACACTTTAGCATTCTACAACATGTATGGACATTTTCTTCTGTGTGTGCTTTATATTCTCCATGTGTTTTAACTGTTGATTCTCTGACCTGTGTCGGTGATTTCAATGGTTTTGTTAAGTCCTCTGAGATGACTTCTGTTGTGACCTAGGGCTATACAAGAATAAATTGTATTGTATTGTATTGTGTACTTGCCAGCGTGGAAAACGTTTTTTCTCCAGAATCCATCTTAACCTTAAGTCGCGCTGGATATAGGCACTTTGCCTGTATTCCCTTCTGTTTTAATTGCTTAATGACTGCATGCGCCTTCGTTCGCTTCTTCTGTAGCTCGGGAGAATAATCTCGATCAAAGAATATTCTCTTGTCTGGAAACATCACCGGTCCTTGGCTCCATGCTTGTATTAAAACGACGTCCTTTACGGCGGCGTCAAGAAATCTCACAATGATTGATCTGGGGGGAGCCGCTGGATTTATTGGTCTGGACATAAGCGAGCGGTGCGCTCTTTCGTTCTTTATGTCCAAATTAGGTGGCAACTGCAGCACTTTAGGTAGCAAATCTTTCAAAAAACCAACCATATCACGTAGCTCACTTCCCTCCGGTATTTGGAATATTCGAATGTTGTTTCTCCTCAGCCTATTTTGTAGATCATCACAAGCATCGGTGAGTTGTTTTTCACGCTGAAGCATGTACCGCAGCACACGGTGCCGCCTCGCCCCTTCGTCCTCCACACCGCTCACTCTCACCTCCAGCTCGCCAATCCTCTGCTGATGTTCACCGAGTTTCCCCTTAATGTCAATCACAGCCTTTTCCAGGCGTTCAAGGGTCTGTGTCGTCTGTCTATGCCCCTGACTGTTTTCTTCACGAATTTTTCTCATCTCCTGTATTAAAGACATCTCAGGCTCGCATGCTACTTGTTGCTCGCGGCTAGTAGCATGTGAGCTAACTTCGTCTGTCTTCGGTGACTTATCGTCTGTTTCTTTCAGAGCACCCGATTTTCCATGTCCCCTGGTCCTCGAATTGGATGACATATTGTTCCCAAGTTGTTTTATGAGATGAAAGCCTCAAATATCTGTAATTGTCACAGATTTCTAACTTTTTCTGACGGAGATTCTTCTCTAGCCTGTTGTTCTTATCATGACGTCACCGGAAGTCCCACAGTCACCTTTTTAAAATCATAACTTAGTCTAAAATCGTTTAACATATTTAAAAGAGCAGTCTCTGTGCTGTGGTTCACCCTAAATCCTGATTGAAATTTCTCTAAAATTTGCTGCTGATCTAAAAAGGCATTGAGCTGGGTAAAAACAAGTTTTTCTAAAATTTTGCTTAAAAATGGTAAGTTGGATACCGGTCTGTAGTTGTTAAAATCATTAAAATCTAAATTGCTCTTCTTCAGAAGGGGTCTCACCACAGCCGCTTTGAAGGCTGCAGGAAAGACCCCAGTCTGAAGAGAGCAATTCATCAGGTTTAAAAGCTCCTCTCTAAAAGATTCATAAAATGACTTAAAAAATGGAGTGGGGACTGGATCTAAAAGACATGTGGTGGGCCTCACTGAGGAGAAAACTTTATCAAGCATCTCAGCATCAACCAGGACAAAACTGTCCAGTGTTTCCTCTGGTGAAGTCAAACAATCAGATGTGTTAAAAACAGTTGTGCGGTTGGATAAAATGTTACATCTGATTGTATTTATCTTCCCCGTGAAGTGGACTGCAAAATCCTCACAGAGGGAGTCTGTGGGGGTTAAAGAGACATGCTAAAATCAGGGTTTAAAATGGTGTTGATGGTTGAAAAGAGGATTTTTGGATTATTTTTGTTCTGGCTGATTAGATTTGCAAAGTATTTGTTCTTATGATTTCTAATTGTGTTATTGTATGCTTTTTGATTGTTTTTATATATTTCGTAGTTGATTGTTGTTTTATTTTTCCTCCATCTTCGTTCTGCCACCCTGCACTCTTGTTTCATTTGCGTACTTCCTCATTTCTCCATGGGAGTGCAGATTTTGTTTTTATGATTTTTGTTTTTAAAGGAGCCACCTGATCCAACGCAGAACTAAGTCTACTGTTAAAATCATTTGCTATAAAATCACAGGGGGCAGGTAAAACGAAGTGGGGAGTGTTGTTTAGGATGTCGAATAAAATTTGCAGCCACTTCAGGGGTTAGATGTTGCTTCCTCACGGTTCTCACAGAGGTCTCACGCTGTATAAAACCAGTGATGTTAAAAAACACACAGTAGTGGTCCGAGACAGCCAAGTCGACAACAGAGGACACATCCGCAGTCAGGCCATAGGTAATGACCAGGTCGAGGGTGCGTCCCCTGTTGTGTGTTGGCTGTCTGACGTGTTGGGTAAAATCCATGTAATTAAGAACATCTAAGAAATCTAGGGTAAAATTGTCAGAGGGATTGTCAATGTGTATGTTAAAATCACTGGTTAAAATTATCATATTGTAAGAATTGTGTAATTGTGATAAAAACGGTGAGAATTCAATAATAAAAAGGCTGCACTTTTTAGGTGGCCTATAAATAATTACTGTTAAAATTTTGGGGTTGCTAAAAACAAGAGAGTGATACTCAAAACTTGAGTATTGGTTAAAAACAATAGGTTTGGTGGCCAGGGTGTTACTGCATATTGAGGCTGTGCCGCCACCTCTCTTTCCTTCTCTTGTTTTAAAAGCAAAGTTAAAATCGGGAGGGGAGGCCTCTGTAAGAACAGCCGGAGCATCCGGACCCAGCCAGGTCTCAGTTAAAAACATACCATCCAGCTCGTGTTCTAAAATCAAATCATTAACAGTAAAAGTCTTATTTAAAAGGGAGCGTACATTTAAAAGGGCAAACCTGATGGTAGATGGGTTGTTATTGTTGATGGGGAGTCCATAGTTCGAAGTGGGTGGAGCAGAGGATGAGAGAGGGCAGGGGGAAACAGTGATGAGGTTGGTGAAGGACGGTTTCCTGGGTATGGACGGTCTGTAGGGGCGGGGTCTGGACAAAACTGTAATTTTGTGCTGGGGAAGAGAGCAGGGTTTGATGCTGGGGCACATACGGGCAGGAGGGATGTGGGGGTGGGTTGTCAGAGGTATGTAGGATGGGATTGGACTGCGTGGGTGACGTTGGAGATCAGGTACCGGTTGCCAAGTGGGTTGATGTGAAGTCCGTCGGGTGTGAAGAAGGGGTAGCGGTTCCAGAACAGATTAAAATTGTCTATAAAACCAAAGTTGTGATGGAGTGATGTTTGATTGAGCCAGGTGTTGAGTGATAAAATCCTGCTAAAACGCTCCCTGCCGCGGTTAACAGTGGGCAGAGGACCAGAGATAAAAACAGTTTTTCCTGAGTTTGATAAAAGGTTAACCCTTTAGGCGCCAGAGTTTTTTCAAGAAAATATACAATTTTGATTTCAAGATTTCAAAAGGCTATAACTTTAAAATGGTTTGAGATAAAGGCATACTGTAAATTAGAAATATCTTCAGTTTGAACCAAACTTTGGGATGGAGGTTGATTCGTCATCTAATTTGCATATTGTGACGTCATCAAGGTGGCGGCCAGTTTGGAAAATGTTAATTATTGTATAAAGACTTCAAAAAGCTGTAGCTTGGGAGTTATTTGAGATCAGGGAATACTATAAACAGTCAATGTGAAATATCTTTAGTATG